ATTTTTGCTCACGAGACTCCACATCTTAGAGGAAGCATTGCCTGTGAGGTAGGTGGGGCTGAGAGAGCTCTCTCGAGGACTGCTCCTGAGAGAACAGCTCTGAAACAACTTGTGACTGACCCCAGGTCACCCCAGCAGCTGCATGTGGAGGAGTGGGGGGGGAGGAGTCACAGAGGGCAGTTCCCAGGTGAAGACAAAGAGGCATCTCATTCAAGGAGAAAACGTGCACCGCTTAGAGTGATGTAGCGCCCTCCAGTGTCCAGGCAACCTGAGTCACTCACTCCAACACGGAGAGCAACGGGTGGCACACTGGGCCCTTTCAACAGAGTTGGATTGGCTGGGAGCAGGGAACCCTGGGGTACATCTCCAGTTTGAGAGCCAGTTTGGTGTCGCGGTTAAGAGCGGCGAACTCTAACCTGGGAGAACCAGGTTTGATTCCCCACGCCTTCACTTGCAGCTGCTAGATGACCTTGGGCAAGCCATAGTTCTGTCAGAGCTGTCCTTGAAAGAGCAGTTTCTGTCAGAGCTCTCTCAGCCCCACCTACCTGACAGGGTGTCTGTTGTGGGGAGGGGAAGGGAAAGGAGTTTGTAAGCCGCTCTGAGACTCCATGAGAAGGGCGGGGCATAAATCCAATCCCCTCCTCCTCCTCCTCCTCCTCCTCTTCTTCTTCTGACTGAGAGGGATGATGGAGGACCTGCCTCTTGAAATCCCACCGCTGAGGTTTTAAGCAGGGTGAGAGAAACAACCTCTGTTCCTTTTAAGAGGCCGATCACCTGTACGTCGCTGGGGAAGGTGTGCAGGGAAGACCTCCGTGCTGTTCTCTCGCCCTCTTTCAAACCTCCGTTTATGCGCAAACACCCCCAAACCCAGAGCTAGGCCTAGTTCCCAATTCCAGCCTCGTGCTGGGACAAAGACCCCCCTCCAGCTCCCAAACTGTGAATTTTCCGGGCCAGATCCCTGATAGCTCCTCACAAGAGCCCTCCCCTGCCTTGTGAACTTCTCAGCCCCTTTCGGGAGACCGGAGAAGTCAGTCCAATTCCGCAAGAACATCCCCTTGTTTTGCAAAGCCCGTAATTAGTTGTGCAACCCGGCCAGAAGGCGCCTGGGTTTGGAATAACGGTGAAGCAAGAGTCCCTTGTGTGCGGCAGCGCTGCGACGGGAGGAGGGGGGGGACCCCCGGAGCGGTCGGTGACTCAGCACATGTTCAGTTTCTGCCCGGCGGCTGCCGCCAAACTGGATTTCACCTGCTTTGCAGGATTACAGAGAATCCATGAGCGGGGGAGAAGAAAGTTTTTGAGGCAGGGCGGGGGGAAAGGATGCATTCTTAACCGAGGAAGGACGGGGAGTGTAACAGATTTTGCTCTACGCACATGGTGTTAGGTTTCCCAGTTCTGTGTTAGAAATTCCTGGAGATTTGAGGAGAGGAGGTGGAGGTGGAGGAGATTGGATTTATATCCCGCCCTTCACTACCCGAAGGAGTCTCAGAGCGACTTACACTCTCCTTTTCCTTCCCCCTCCCCACAAGGGACACCCTGTGAGTCTGAGAGGTGGGGCTGAGAGAGTTCTTTCAAGGACTGCTTGTGAGAGAACAGTTCTGAGGGAACTTGTGACTGACCCATAGTCACGCCAGCAGCTGCATGTGGAGGAGGAGTGGGGAATCAAACCTGGTTCTCCCAGATTAGAGTCCACACTCCTAACCAGTACACCAAACTGGCTCTCTTTCAGGAGGGAAGGCACCTCAGCAAGGCTAGAGTTTTAGATGGTTCACTGTGTCTGGGGCAGTGATGCTCTGTTTTCTTGGTGCTTGGGGGGCCCACAGTAAGAGGGTTTCTGGCAGGGCCGGCTCACCCGCTAGGCGAACTAGGCATTCGCCTAGAGCGCGGGCTGGACCTTAGGGTGTCAAACTGGACTCCCCCCCGCCAAAGCCTCCAGCTTCGTGGGTTTGCCCCACTGTGCCCTCGGTGCTGTTGGCGAAGCGGACCATCGGGGGGGCCTTCTGGACACACCTTCTCCTCCAGTCGTGGCTGTGCAGGCGGCGGCGGTGTCCAAAGGAGTCCTTTTGGGGGAAAGCGCAGCCCTGGTTGGTGCAAGAAAGAGGGCTGTGTGGGCGCCAATCCGCCAGCAGCAAGAGCAACCAGCGGCAGGGCGTTTGTTCAGCGGCTGTTCGGCGCGCCTGGCGAGAGAGAGAAAGAGCCGCTGGCTTCGCCCCCGAACCCGATTGCCAGGCCAGGCCGGCCCGGGCCTCCCGCCCGCCTCTCCAGCCCACCACCTCTGGCTTCATCCGGGTCTCTCTCGCCTGCACCGCTCCGAGAGCTGCCGAAAGTGGTCCTGAGTCGCATTCCAGAGCTAGAGGCTGGGGGGGGTGAGGAGAGAGAAGGGGGGGCTCTGGCAAAGGAGGCCAGGAGCCCGCCCG